CATTGTTAGCTGAACTTCGCTCACAACAAAACACGCTCACACGACCCTCGTCAGCCCAGGAAAGTGCAACACAGGCCAGCTATGAGATTTCAGTTCTAATTGCCAGGAGTGGACGTTCACTTTCTACAGGGGACTTTGTTGAAGAATGCTTATCCACGGCTGCAAAGCTAGTGTGTCCCGCTCAGGCAAGACCTTTCTCCCAGATCAGCCTCTCACGGAATACGGTGACTCATCGCATCGAGGACATGGCCCAGGACGTTAAGGAGCAATTCAAAGCAAAGGCTGCTGAATTTGTTGCCTTTTCATTAGCGTGCGATGAGAGTACGGACATTTCGGACTCAGCTCAGCTTTTGGTTTTCATACGGGGTGTCCGTGAAAATATGGAAATAACAGAGGAGCTTGCTGGAGTTGAGACACTGCGTGGCACGACTAAAAGCGAGGATTTGTTTGCAGCGGTTGAGAGAGTCCTGGATAAGAATGGTTTGAGGTGGGAGAAAATGGCCGGGATAACAACAGATGGAGCGCCTGCCCTGATTGGGAGGAAAGACAGCCTAACCACTCTAGTTTCTCAGAAGGTTGCCCAGTGTGGAGGTAAGGTGGCACAATACCACTGCATCCTGCACCAAGAACAGCTGTGTGCGAACTCAATTGGCCTAGGAGATGTGGTACGTGATGTCGTTAAAATAATAAACTGTATTCGCTCCAAGGCACTCTCACACTGCCAGTTCAGAAGCCTTTTAGAAGAGATTGATGCACAGTATCAAGATCTCCTTTACCATCAAGAGGTCAGGTGGCTGAGCCACAGGAAAGGTGCTGAAAAGATTTTTTTGAGCTGCGGGATGCTATTTTTGACTTTCTGAAGAGCAAGGACAGTGAGACTCAAGTGCCCTCAGATGAAAAATGGATTTGTGACGTGGCTTTTATGGTGGACATCACTGACCAGCTCAACACCCTGAATGTGCAGCTTCAAGGAAAGGAGCTAATTATTACGGAGATGTTTGACCACATAAAGGCCTTTCAGAGAAAACTGCAGCTACTGTGTCGACATCTGTCAGCAGGTGAGTTAATGCCTTGCACAAAATACATAATTTTAATGGTAATGTGATCATGTGATGCGGAGGAACACAACTGTCAGTTGTATATGTGGAATATGACATTACTAGTGAGTGAAAATTGCAATATTTATTGCATTGATAATTATTAATTACTTTTTACTTCTGTTCAGGAAACCTGACTCACTTCCCCAGTCTGAGAGGTAAACCTGGTACAACACAAACTGTCTGAATATGCAACACTTGTCAGCAACCTAGACCTGGAGTTTGAAATGCGCTTTCAGGACTTCAGGAAGAATTCAGGTGACATGGAGCTGTTTTCCCAACCCTTCAGCACAAATGCATATGGACATAATTCGTGGCTAAATAAAGATTCATTTGCTGTGTATTTGCTTCCTGTTCTTTGTACCTTTATAATAAACACATTTCAATCAGAAAGTGCACCTGGACCCCGACACCCCCACCCCCCCGCACTGCCCACCAGACCCTCGGCCCAGCAACGCTTTTTCATTTTGGCCCTCCGAGGGGGAAAGTTTGGGCACCCCTGATGTAAAATATATTTAGCAAGGAGCGATGAGTCACAGCAGCAGCAGAGCTTTAGGAGGGGATTATGTTTCTGTGCCGCTCACCAGCAGACCTCTTACTGTGGCCACACGTGTGTGGTCTTTTGAGTCAAACATTATTTTATGCCAGTTCTGCTTCTTCAGAAGCATGACAAGATGATATACAGTATCATTAG